CAACTTTCGTAGAAAAAAAAATTTTGAAAAAATTTTTCTGCGAAAAAAATGGATTACTTTTAAACGAGAACAACAACAACGACATTACAATCACTGTAAAACGCCAGAAACTTGAAAAATAAAGTAGGTCAATTTTCAAATGAAATTTTGAAAAGTTTTAAAAATTTAGTTTTAGTGCATCTAAAATTTTGAATATTCAAGTGAATCAAGTATTTTTTTACAACTTTTAGTTTAAATTTGATCACAAAATATTGTTTTTTAAATTATAAAACTAATTGTTAATTCAGGAAATTTCAGTTTATTTTTTCTATTATTATTTTATACCCAGGTGCGAATTTAGGTTGGCCGCCAGAGTTTAAAGGTTGGCCCAAGGTTGGCCTAACTTTGGCAAGCAAAGTTTTGGTTGCCAGAGTTTGCCCAACTTTGGCAAGTACTTGTTCCCACAGTTGGCCCGACTTTGCAAGCCAACCATTAAATGCAGAGTTTAACCAACCGTCGGGCCAACTTTGGCGACAAAGGTTGGCACAACTTATCCAAACGTAGTTTAAAAGACTTTCAGTTTCGGTTGGCCGAACTCTGGGCCACGGTTGGCCCGACGGTTGGCAAAACTATGTGAAACGCAGTTTAATTGACTTAAACTTTCTTGGTTGGCCCAACGGATGGCAAAACTCTGTGAAACGCAGTTTAATTGACTTAATTTTTCTTGGTTGGCCGAACTCTGGGCAACGGTTGGCCCAACGGTTGGCAAAACTCTAGAAACGCAGTTTAAATGACTTAAACTTTCTTGGTTGGCCGAACTCTGGGCAACGGTTGGCCCAACGGTTGGCACAACTTATCCAAACGTAGTTTAAAAGACTTTCAGTTTCGGTTGGCCGAACTCTGGGCCACGGTTGGCCGAACTCTGGGCCACAGTTGGCCCAACGGTTGGCAAAACTCTGTGAAACGCAGTTTAATTGACTTGATTTTTCTTGGTTGGCCGAACTCTGGGCAACGGTTGGCCCAACGGTTGGCAAAACTCTGTGAAACGCAGTTTAATTGACTTAATTTTTCTTGGTTGGCCGAACTCTGGGCAACGGTTGGCCCAACGGTTGGCAAAACTCTAGAAACGCAGTTTAAATGACTTAAACTTTCTTGGTTGGCCGAACTCTGGGCCACGGTTGGCCCAACGGTTGGCAAAACTATGTGAAACGCAGTTTAATTGACTTGATTTTTCTTGGTTGGCCGAACTCTGGGCAACGGTTGGCCCAACGGTTGGCAAAACTCTAGAAACGCAGTTTAAATGACTTAAACTTTCTTGGTTGGCCGAACTCTGGGCAACGGTTGGCCCAACGGTTGGCAAAACTCTGTGAAACGCAGTTTAATTGACTTGATTTTTCTTGGTTGGCCGAACTCTGGGCAACGGTTGGCCCAACGGTTGGCAAAACTCTGTGAAACGCAGTTTAATTGACTTAATTTTTCTTGGTTGGCCGAACTCTGGGCAACGGTTGGCCCAACGGTTGGCAAAACTCTAGAAACGCAGTTTAAATGACTTAAACTTTCTTGGTTGGCCGAACTCTGGGCCACGGTTGGCCCAACGGTTGGCAAAACTCTGTGAAACGCAGTTTAATTGACTTAATTTTTCTTGGTTGGCCGAACTCTGGGCAACGGTTGGCCCAACGGTTGGCAAAACTCTAGAAACGCAGTTTAAATGACTTAAACTTTCTTGGTTGGCCGAACTCTGGGCAACGGTTGGCCCAACGGTTGGCAAAACTCTGTGAAACGCAGTTTAATTGACTTGATTTTTCTTGGTTGGCCGAACTCTGGGCAACGGTTGGCCCAACGGTTGGCAAAACTCTGTGAAACGCAGTTTAATTGACTTAATTTTTCTTGGTTGGCCGAACTCTGGGCAACGGTTGGCCCAACGGTTGGCACAACTTATCCAAACGTAGTTTAAAAGACTTTCAGTTTCGGTTGGCCGAACTCTGGGCCACGGTTGGCCCGACGGTTGGCAAAACTATGTGAAACGCAGTTTAATTGACTTAAACTTTCTTGGTTGGCCGAACTCTGGGCCACGGTTGGCCCAACGGATGGCAAAACTCTGTGAAACGCAGTTTAATTGACTTAATTTTTCTTGGTTGGCCGAACTCTGGGCAACGGTTGGCCCAACGGTTGGCAAAACTCTAGAAACGCAGTTTAAATGACTTAAACTTTCTTGGTTGGCCGAACTCTGGGCAACGGTTGGCCCAACGGTTGGCAAAACTCTGTGAAACGCAGTTTAATTGACTTGATTTTTCTTGGTTGGCCGAACTCTGGGCAACGGTTGGCCCAACGGTTGGCAAAACTCTGTGAAACGCAGTTTAATTGACTTAATTTTTCTTGGTTGGCCGAACTCTGGGCAACGGTTGGCCCAACGGTTGGCAAAACTCTAGAAACGCAGTTTAAATGACTTAAACTTTCTTGGTTGGCCGAACTCTGGGCCACGGTTGGCCCAACGGTTGGCAAAACTATGTGAAACGCAGTTTAATTGACTTGATTTTTCTTGGTTGGCCGAACTCTGGGCAACGGTTGGCCCAACGGTTGGCAAAACTCTGTGAAACGCAGTTTAATTGACTTAATTTTTCTTGGTTGGCCGAACTCTGGGCCACGGTTGGCCCAACGGATGGCAAAACTCTGTGAAACGCAGTTTAATTGACTTAATTTTTCTTGGTTGGCCGAACTCTGGGCAACGGTTGGCCCAACGGTTGGCAAAACTCTAGAAACGCAGTTTAAATGACTTAAACTTTCTTGGTTGGCCGAACTCTGGGCAACGGTTGGCCCAACGGTTGGCAAAACTCTGTGAAACGCAGTTTAATTGACTTGATTTTTCTTGGTTGGCCGAACTCTGGGCAACGGTTGGCCCAACGGTTGGCAAAACTCTGTGAAACGCAGTTTAATTGACTTAATTTTTCTTGGTTGGCCGAACTCTGGGCAACGGTTGGCCCAACGGTTGGCAAAACTCTAGAAACGCAGTTTAAAAGACTTAAACTTTCTTGGTTGGCCGAACTCTGGGCCACGGTTGGCCCAACGGTTGGCAAAACTCTGTGAAACGCAGTTTAATTGACTTAATTTTTCTTGGTTGGCCGAACTCTGGGCAACGGTTGGCCCAACGGTTGGCAAAACTCTAGAAACGCAGTTTAAATGACTTAAACTTTCTTGGTTGGCCGAACTCTGGGCCACGGTTGGCCCGACGGTTGGCAAAACTATGTGAAACGCAGTTTAATTGACTTAAACTTTCTTGGTTGGCCGAACTCTGGGCCACGAGTGGCCCAACGGTTGGCAAAACTCTGTGAAACGCAGTTTAATTGACTTAATTTTTCTTGGTTGGCCGAAACGCAGTTTAAATGACTTAAACTTTCTTGGTTGGCCGAACTCTGGGCCACGGTTGGCCCAACGGTTGGCAAAACTATGTGAAACGCAGTTAAATTGACTTAAACTTTCTTGGTTGGCCGAACTCTGGGCCACGGTTGGCCCAACGGTTGGCAAAACTCTGTGAAACGCAGTTTAATTGACTTGATTTTTCTTGGTTGGCCGAACTCTGGGCAACGGTTGGCCCAACGGTTGGCAAAACTCTGTGAAACGCAGTTTAATTGACTTAATTTTTCTTGGTTGGCCGAACTCTGGGCAGCGGTTGGCCCAACGGTTGGCAAAACTTTGTCAAATGCGGTTTAAATGACTTAAACTTTCTTGGTTGGCCGAACTCTGGGCCACGGTTGGCCCGACTGTTGCAGCTTAAATATACATTTTGCGTTATGCACTCCCATGTGAGCGTAGCGTAGTGGTCAGTGTATATGTCTTGGGTGCGTTAGGTTAGGGGTTCGATCCCAGCGAGCGATAGATATTTTCGAAAATGTATGTATGAGATTGTGTTTAATAATAATAGGTAAAGGTTATATCTGATGTTCCCGCTAATAATAACGTGTTAATTGTTTAAATAATGTAGTTTTTTAATAATTTTTTACCTTTGGCTGTTGAAGTTGGCCAAACTTTGAAAATTGTGGTTGGCCCAACTTACGCATCTAAAGTTGTGCCAACTTTGGCGTCAGTCTTTGGACCAACCATTGAAATGTATAGTTGGCACAACATATGCATTGTAAGTTGGGCCAACTTCCTTATGAGTTGTCGGGCCAACCATCGTCGCCATTAGACGGTCGCCGTTATCATCTGTATGGTTGGCCCAACCTCTGGCACGAGAAGTTGGACCGACTTTGTAAAAGTTGGCCCAACTATGGGCCGACCAAAAAATCGCACCTGGGTAGAGATTTTGAAAAATATCTAAAAAGTAATGCATTTGAACGTTCAAAAATTTAAATCTTCAGTTTCACTGAAGTTTACAAATTTTATCTTTTATATTTTTTTAAAAAAATGCATAATATTTGTTATTAAAAGAATGTGTGCGAAGCTTTTATTGTTTTTTTTAAAAAATGCATAATATTTATTATCAAAAGGATGTGTACGAAACTTTTGTTTATTTTGAAAAGTATATTTGATATCAAAACGACGTGTACGAAACTGTTTTTGTTTATTAAACAATTTAATAAAACGTTTGTTTCAAAAATTAATTTGACTTCATAATAGATTTTGTGTTAAATAATATTTATTTATAAATAACTTTATTTCAATAGTAAATTTCTTATTCAACGGCACCATAGAAAAATGTTCCTTAATCGTTTATTTCCGATTCATAACACTTTATGAATCGGCAGCAAAAAATTTTATATTCCCATTCAAATTTCTGATTTCCGATTCAATGAATAATAAAAATAATCAGTATTAATCTGCCTTCGCCTTTTAAGAATGCGGATTCACAAGAGCTTTCGACCTATTCAAAACGAGTGAATAGGTTTTTGTTTCCTGGGTAGAAATAATTTTATAGACACATACGATGATAAAGACTTTTACATAAGGTTTCGTTTAAATAAACTCTGGGTTCATAATTTACTAGAAGAAATAGAACACGAATTATTACACGCTACAGAGAAGTATTTATTCACTATATATTATATTTTACAACTTTAATACAGCAAATTTTTAAAAATAATTATGAACTATTTAATTGTAGAAATCAAGCAGTACCACCAATAATTCAGTTGCTTCTGACTTTGAGGTTGTTTGCAACGGGATGTCACTTGTTGGCTGCAGGAGATTTTTCTGGTGTCAGCAAAACAAGTTCACACCGAATTACACACAGGGTGTCTGCAGCAATCGCTAGACTTTGACCAAGATATATCAAATTGCCATCAACTCAAGAGGAAGTACTCGAATCTCAAGTTCTATTTTACAATATAGCACGTTTTCCTCGCGTTATGGGTTGCATTGATTGCACACATGTAAAAATACAATCCATTGGTATATTTTTAATCTACAAATAATTTATACTTTAGTACAAAAAGAATAATTTAATTTACTAATAACAAAATTTAACGTACATTTCCTAGGTGGTGAAAATGCTGAGGTGTACAGGAATAGAAAAGGATACTTTTCACTTAATGTGCAAGCTATTACCAATGCAAATTTGGAAGTAATTGATATTGTCGCACGATGGCCAGGATCTGTACACGATAGCACGATTTTCGCAAACTCCAAAATAAACACCAAGTTAGAAGCAGGTGAATTCGGAAACGCCGTTTTATTAGGAGATGGTGGTTACGGTTGCAAACCATATTTGTTAACACCATTACAGACACCCCGTTCTCCTGCAGATAGATTATACAATGAATCTCAAATAAGAACACGAAATTCTATTGAGCGTACATTTGGTGTGTGGAAAAGGAGATTTCCTATTATGGCGTTGGGAATGCGATTTAAAATCGCAAATATTCTTCCTATTATTATTGCAACGGCAGTTCTACACAATATTGCTCGACGTAGTGGAGAAGATCCAATTGACGATCCAAATTTAATTTTTCCGGAAACTTTGGATGATCTTATTTTAATGACAGATGTAAATGTTAATGTTGGACCTCAGCCAGATGGAGCAGCTCAAAGAAAGTTAATAAATAATTATTTTCAAAGGTAATTGTATTAATTATGGTATGCAAATAATTTTGAATTTTTAATACTTATAAAAATCCTGTTTCTTTTTTAGCCTTCTTGAATAAAGATGTAAGAGACTTCCAGTGCTGATAAATACAAAGGAATAATACAATAGCCTGCACTTTTTTAACTGTTTATTTATTATACAGTCTAACAAACTTTCAAATATAGGGGAAAGGTGTACGAGATGATCCCCCTAAGGGAAAAAACCTATTATTCAAAGAAAAATCAACATATTCGAGTTTTTTTTTGTACGCACTACTAGATAATTAATCTATCTAACTATTCTGATTTGGAATATTTGCAGCTAATTAATATTTTACTATTATATTTAATTTTTCTAAAACCTTACAAAAGGATCATCTTGGACACCGGGGTGTCCAAGATGATCCCCATGGTATGGGCAAGATAATCCGTATGGTTATCTTACCCCAATTATTGGAAAAGAAGTATAAATTGAAGGAATAACAGTGTATCAATGTTAAATATACTTTATTTAGGCCACAAACGCTTTTGACCACTCACCACGATTCGTTTTCCTATTTTTTAATTACGAGGCATTGTCTACAACGAGAAAATTAATAAAATAGATGTAGATGTTAACTTTTTGTTTTAGATAAGTTAGTTTTCATAATAAAAACATATAAGAAGCGAGAAAAATTGAATTTTTTATTAATACTAGAAAATTCACTTTGAGGTGAGACGAAATACATGGGAATCAGGGGGGATCATCTTGTACACCCATTGAGGGATCATCTTGCCCCAAATGCCACTATTTTGTAATTTGTTCGTAGCTTAACCTACGAGCTCTGTTATTCCATAATACCAATTAGAACACTTAGTTGAAGAGATACTGAAGCCGTGAGTACAAGAAACATGGAATTTCAGCTACTACAACAAAAGTTATCTAAGCCCAAAGTTAAGCTTTCCTTAGATAAAAAGTATGAAATTTTTATTTTTTCCAATAGAATTTTTTTAATGACGCGTGTTGTCATGACAGTTTGACTGATTCATAGGTATGTCATTGGCAACGTATTACCGTATTTGCCTAAAAGGTGGCGCTAATAGGCTTGCCAAAATTCAAAAGGATCATCTTGCCCCAGGGGATCATCTCGTACACCTTTCCCCTACTGATGGCACACCTTTTTTAAAAATAAAATAGAACTCTAACTTCTTTTACCAGCTAAAACGGATAATCATATATTTATTAAACAAATGTTTAGTCAAAGTCTTTGAAATGTTAAGGTAATTTAAAGCACCTTATCGAAAATAAAAAAAAGTAGTAATAGACCTTAATAGAAATTATAAATAATGTGAATAAAAACATAAGTTCAATGTAAATTTATAAATTAACTTTGATGAAATTTTCAATAAAATTTATATCGGCTAAATTAAATTTTTTGAATATTTAATCAAATCAATTTTAAATTATTCCTGTTTTCTGCATTATAAAATTTCTATACTAAAACTATCTTAACGTAGAAGAATCACAAGTTATTTGGCTTGAAATGATATCATCAATTTTCTTTTCAATTTTCATGAAATTTTTATCGGCAAATTTTAAATTTAATGAAAATTGTAGGAAATATTTTAAAAATTATTCCTTTTTCTTACATTATAAAATTTCAATACTATAACAATCTTAACGTAGAAGAATCACAGAATATTTTACTTGAAACGATAATGTTCTAAATTTAATTTCAAATTTTCATAAAAATTTATCGGATAATTTTAATGAAAATGTTAAAATTTTTTAATGAAATTAAAGTTTCCAGAATAATGATATTACTCAGTATTGTAAATAATGTGTAGTTTTAACAATTTTTAACAATTTACCGGCACAACTTGTAATTGTTTCTTTAGTACTTCTATTTGCAAATTTTCTTTTTCCAATTGCAACCTTAACAATTCGATTTCTAATTGATTCTTTTCCTTTAAGTACATCTTCTGTAATACCAGTAATTCGTGTTTCGCCGATGCTAAATCCACGAACGATTGAGCTCTTTCTGTGTTTTTAATTTTCCCTGCGTTGCTATTCATTCCTTTATATAACACAGAATTTGCAGCGGAATGCTTTGTTGACGGCGATTTCAAATAGGGCGATTGATTTTTAATGTTTTCGACCTAAAAATAAACCAAATTTTATGAATTTTGTATTATTTTTTAATAAATTGTAAACGTTAAATATACCTTTCTACTTATATTCTGCTGACTTGCAATTACAGGTACACTGCAAGCAGAATCAGATGGTAGCAAACTTTTTGCACTGCTTTCCCCAACAGTGACAATTGGTTGACTTGCGCCTGGTATCTTTAAAATGAAATTTAATAAAATTATTAAATTTTTGTTAAAAGGTTAAATCATTTGAAAACGTTAAATAATTGTTTGTTATAAACTAAAAATCATCAAAGTGAATTAAATTTATGCACTTGAAGTGCATAAATTCGTCTCAGTTATGAACACACTTTGAGTGCATTATTCTCATGCACTTTGACCTCAAAGTGTGTAATTTTAATGCACTTTGAAGTGCATAAAATATAAAATGCATATGAATTACACACTTTGACGTCAAAGTGCATGAATATTATTCACATTGATTTACAGAGTACAAATTTGTAGCAATAGCTTTATGAATTTTTTTATATTTTCTTACGTCGAATTCGAAAATCATTTCAGGTTCTTCTGCACTTTTTTCATGTTTCGAAATTTCAGTTCTGCATGCTTTATTTATCAGGTTCATATAATCTACGTCATCCACTTCTACAAATGAAATTTTTATTTAAACACTATATCATTTTTAAGTTTTTTAATATCAATTATAATTATTTATATACTTCATTAGAATAGAATATTAATTATTTCTTGCCTGCAATGTAGTCGCTATCGAATGGATTCGGTAAACTTGTTACCGTTGCTTCGATAAGTGGTTTGATGCGTTCATACATTGCAGCCTCCGGTCCGGTACAATCATTTTCAACACGGCCACCTCCTACAAAATTTCGAAAATTGTATCTTTATTATTTTTTATTACATTAGGGCATGTGGAACCAGCCAACATATGTTTCAATTAAACTTAAATATATTTTGAGTTTGATTTAAACAAAATATGTTTGAATCAAATAAATTGTTTTCTCAGTATAAATTTATATTTTTATTTTCAAATTTTCAGTTTTTTGACAATTTTCGAAAAGAAAATACAATCGAATACAAATTTTCATTGAAAAAGTGAATATTTAAATAGAAATATATAAATTCATTCATTTTTTCAATATTAATATTAATTTGTATTTGATTATCTTTTTTTCTCAAAAAATATCAAACTTTTATTAAATGAAAAATCAATATTTATTTTATAATTTTGTATGAAAATCAGTATGAATATTAGTAGATTTATCCATTGATTTTGGTTGCTTCCACATGCCTTTAAGTAATTTAAGTTAATTATTAATTTAACTTCAACTTATTTACAATAATTTTTAATAAGTTTTTTTTTATTTCATCTTACCTGTTAAATGAACCTGTTTTTTTTAAAAAGCGAAATGTTTGCGAGTACCGCGTTTTAAATTTTCCCATAAACTTTTGAGACTCCGAACGTCACGGTAAATTCCACTACCGTTGCTATTAAATTCCTGAGCAATTTTTATCCAAGTATCATTTTTTATTTTAACATTCACGGCATCGCTTTCTTTATTTTCAATAATTTGTTTGTATTTCGTAACTAACTCCGATAAACTAGATTTTTCTGATGGCAAAAAATTTGGCGACCTTTTTTTCTGCCATTTTTTAATATTTTGACAATATAATTTATTATATTAAAACTAATTAAATTTTATAAAATAAAGCGTTGCAAAACGATAATATATCGAACACGTGGTGACTTTGTGAGGAAAATTCTACAGAGCTCCACAAACGTGTACTTTCCGTTAGGATTGACCAATCACAATAGAGAAAGTAATGTTATTGCGAACAGAGTATACGTTTAGCTAACCATGGCTTATAACATGTTGGTGGAACGCATAGCCGGTTAAAGTCAACTTAACAGCGCCTTTAACTTTAGCGGACCGTCAGCTAATCGAACCTTTAACTACGAGTTGGTGGAACCGGGCAAAAGACTGCTTCAACTCTGGGTTACCCACGCTGGGCGTTCAAGACTCAGTCAAGTTTCAACTACTTCGTGGTTTCAACCCATCGTCAGCACTGGTCTTTCGCGCCTGGGATATTAAAAAGAAGAAAAAGTATTGATATGTTCAACAATTTGAAAATGATTTTAATTTGTATATTTAATCTCCTCAATAATTAATATTTCTATTTCAACTTCATGCTGACGATCCAAAAATTTACTTTCAACTTGATAGATGTAATACAGTTTACTTGCTGGATTATAAGTAAAATATTGGTTTTCAAACTGCAGCAAGCAAGTTTTATTAGATCAATAGATATTTGTATAAAAGTTAATGACAAACAAATCAATGAGGAAGGCTTTGATTTAAATACTAACGAGATATGTAGAACACAGTAGCTAGAGGATGTAATTAAAATAGTAAATGAACGTAGAATCTATTCAACTTGTACTTCATTAATTATGACATGAATCTTTTCCTGTATTTTCTTCAACCTATATCGTATAAAAATGATTTTTACAAAAAAATTAGGGTGGAGTCCCATGACAGCGTTTTGCGTTGCGTCGTAATGGGAGAGAAAAAGATGCAAATATACGTTTGCTGCATTCTCTCTCATTACAACGCAACGCAAAACGCTGCCATGGGACTGCGGCCTTACATTTTGCCTTTGCGTCGAGTGTAATTTAGGGTCAAGTCCCATGGCACCGTTTTGCGTTGCGTTTTGTAACTAGGCCATGAGTGCAAGTACAGCGAACGTATATCTCCATCTCTCTCATTCACATGGACTAGTTACAAAACGCAACGCAAAACGCTGCCATGGGACTCCAGCCTTAGGGTGGAGTCCCATGACAGCGTTTTGCGTTGCGTCGTAATGGGAGAGAAAAAGACGCAAATATACGTTTGCTGCATTCTCTCTCATTACAACGCAACGCAAAACGCTGCCATGGGACTGCGGCCTTAGACTAAACTAGACGACAAATTGCGCGCGCCAACAGTGTTTTGAGTTTGACGATGAAAAATTAATTTTCAAAACATAATTAAAAAATCAAATAATTAAACATAATTTATAAAAAATAGACATATTTATATAAAATAAATGATCACATTTTGTTTATTATCAAAAACATTTATTACATGAAGTAATACGAACAAAATCATCAAAAATTAGGCCTACTTTTATTGAAATTTACTCTCTAAATCAGAATCAGTGAAATTTGACTAAGAATCAGTGACTTTATTCTCGCGATTTGAATCAGTGGAATTAAACTGAAAATCAGTTAAAAGTGACGGAAACTGAAAATCAGGAACTAAAACGAAACTAAAATTTCGAAACGGTTCTTGGTATTTATTCAAAAATAAATTTTATTTACTTATAAAATACTCATATATACATTTATTTTATAATTAATTCAGGGTGTCCTGCAAGTACTAAGAAAAAAATTTCCTGACTTTCCCTTGACTCTACCTTTCCCTTTTTTATAACAAATCTTTAACAAAAAAAATTATGTGAGCTGGTAAATATTAACGTAATTTTATGATAGTGAACTTAAACACTTTATTTATCATCATTATAAACCTTCTTTTGTTGTAAACAAAATATTACACACATAAAATCTAAAAAAAAACAAAGATAAAATAATCTAATTATTTGTTTATTGAAAAACCATGATCTAAAGCCGCGTTCCCATGAGATAAAATTAAAATCATTTTCACAAAGTTTTCCAAATTAGAAAAGCCTTTTGATGATGATTTCAAAAATGAAAGAGAACCAATAAACGAAAGTGATTCACTCATTCAAGTATCTGGTCGACTGAAAATTTAAAAAATAAAAAAAATCGATTTCTCATGAAATTTTAAAAAAATTTCCTGATTTTGATTAAAATTCCCTGACCGCTGGACACCCTTATTAATAATTATTTATAACAAAAAATTGTAGGAAAATAAAAAAATTAATAATAAATAAATTTTAAAATACAATATACCGTCAGAAATTGTCAGTACGAACGACGGGCGAGCTAAGAAAAATTGCTGCTGAAATTAAATTAACATAGCTTATTATTGGAAAATGATAGCTACTTCACTAAGAAAACATTATACGTAATTCAAATACAAAAATAATTTTAGATGATTTTATAATTGAAATTAGTTTATAAGTTAAATCCCAATATATATAGAAAATATCTACTGCTTTCATTCAAAAGTATTATTTATTTGAATAATTATATTTAATTATAATGTATTTTCAGTTTTGGTTTAAACAAAAAATATGTTTAAAAATATTATGTTTGAAAGCCTATTAAATTCTGCGTCGACTGATATGTAAATAAATATTATTTTATATTTTTGAGAGATTTATCTCCTAAGACATTTTGAAAAAAATTGATTAATTTTTCTGATTTCGTGCACCCTAAAAAGAGTAATCTCATAGTTAAAGAAAAAATCCTCTTCTAATATCCTCTAAAGTTTTCTTCTCCAAAGGAAAATATTCCAATTTAATGTATATTATTTTTATTCTTTGGTGGTTAATAATAGAACAAAACAATTTTTTGATGTTCAAATGTCAGAAAAATTGAATTCAAATGAAATAAATAAAGGAATAAATATATTAATAATTGTAAGTAATTAACTATTAGTTTTTAATTATATTTATTTAATTAAAAGCATTTAATTCAGTGCATCAAATTAACTTTCCTTCATAAGTTCATAATCGTAATTAGTAAATAATATGCGAGAGAAAAATCCTCTAAAGTGAAGAGTATTAATTTTTATACCATAGGGTAACTGCACCAATTGCCGAGGGTGCTCCAATTGTCGAGGATAATAATTTTCTTTTTTAGATAAATAGTATAATATATAATATTTAAGAACAAAAAAAATTTCTAAATAATCTTTGTATTTTCAACTGTATATTTATATAAACAAATTTCGTAGCGATTCTACTAAAATAATTATTTAATTAATATTATAATTCACTGCTGTGAAATTTACACCAATCTCCATTTTCTTAATACTTCAGGTTGATTAAAACAGATTTTTAGAAATGCAAATTAAACGTATTTATAATGGCTTTTTGTGTACAAAATTATTATTATAATTTTGTACACGAACTAAATTAATTTTGTATGCATGTTTTTTTGTTAAAAAAAAATATTTAATATTTTTTAAAAGCAAATCATCGGTATTTGGTTCCTTTTTTTTGACAGTTCCATTTTTCGAGGTAATGACTCGAAAATTGGTGTAGTCACTTTTTTCGCTGATGCACCATTTATCGATGGTTAAGTGTTTATTTACTAAACGTCAAACATAAATGCCAAACATTTATAGGTACAGAGAAAAAGAAAAAAAAATGCTCCAAAAATTTACAACCAACAGAAAATAATCAACCAAAAAAAACAAGGAAGACGGAAAAAAAATTAATAAAAAAATGCATTATTTAAAACTAAAAAATTTTGTACTATAGTTTAATTATAATTAACCATTATATTTACAGTTCGTAATAAAAGTTTATTTTATTCGTTTACAAATTTAATGTGACTTAAATTAATTTATTTTTTCAATTAATGTCTGATTAACAAAATTGATTAAATTTAATTAACTTATATTTATAAAAGTTTAAAAAACAGTTAAATAATTTTCTGTCCTGTATCATCTACTATAAAAATGTTTTATATCGATATTATAAATTATTCAAATATAGTTAAATAAATATATTTGTTTTCTGGTAATGTTCTATAATATTTTTATCGAAAAAATAAATATCTACTCGATTTTCTAATATCTGTACAGGTTAATTGTTAGGTTATATTGGGTTATATGTTTAAAAATGTCATACCCTCGACAATTGGAACAGACCCTCGAGAAATTAGCACAAGACCATCGACAAATGGTGCTTTTGCTCGATTGACTTTTAAATATATTTTTTGCTTAACAATTTAGTTTATATTAAAAAAATAAATATGAATATTAAATATTATTAGATCCTTTGTCCAAATATACAAAAATCAAATTTTAAAGTGCATTTACTTCCGAGAAAAAAAATGTCAAAGTCACATGTTGCCTAAAACCCTCGACAATTGGTACAGTTACCCTATATATAAGAGAAAAATATGCATTCAGTTTAGAGGATTCGGAATCAAATCAAATTTTAGAAAAACATACTTGGATATTTTTTAGATATTTCAAAAACTGTTGAATAAATTTTAAATTTCAAAGATGACTTAAATAAAAGCTGAGACTATAATGATTATGTTATATTATAAGAGTTTTTAATTTTGCTCCCCATTTTTCTAGACTGTGCAGCCACACAAACATATTACACGAAAATTGAAAAATGAATCAATTTTTTTTTAAATATTATTAATTCAGTATAGCCAATTCAGTATAGCTCACGAGTGAAAGCAACCAATGGGATAGGCGTTACTATACTTCGAGATATTTCGAGAGATTTTCGTTTAGAGATTTCTCATATAGGAAAGTTCTGTTTGAAAAAAAGAACCGATTTAAATATAAACAGCATAATCATAAATGCCATTGTAAACTGAATTAATGAATTAACTGAACTAAATAAATTGACATAATCTATTTATAAATAAAATCAGACTTTCATTTGTACATTACTTGAAAATTTTTGCATAATATATATTTTTAATTGTAGGTAGGTATATTAAATATTGCAAATATGATATATATAAATAAGAATTCTGTCTATCTGTAGGAGATATTTTGAATTGAACGGGTATCTCTTAATGGGAGGGTGCACCTCTATTTTTATCTGTATCAACAAAATAATTTAACTCTCCGTCACACACCTAGGGAGGG